GGGGGGGGGGGGACCCGGCGCTCTTTCGGAGCTCCGTTTACCGAGGACACTGCACGTTGGTTCGTTCAGATTCATTCGCCCCAGCTGAGAGCAACTACGGAATGGAATATCGGTGGCCCTTTTTTTCGTGATACTTTCCCCTGTAGAGCTGCTCTTCGGGTGCTGACGTCAGGGCGGCACGGTGTTCTTGAACTATTAAATACTCTCGGGTCGGCAGGAACTGTGGAGCGAGCTGTAACAGTAATGATAAAAGTGAGTTGTCAAAAAAAAAAAAAGGAGGCGTGCAACTCGGTGGTTTTCGATCTGGGGTTAGCATAGGGTTGCCAGACGTCCGGCAAAAGGAGGACATGTCCTCCTTTTTAGCACACTATTCTCCGTACGGCAGGCGAAGCTAAAATCTTTTTTTAAAATGTCCGGCTTTTCTTTCATTTTATATTATAAGTTTTATGTATCGTTGTTACAACTATTACATCGTATGTTTACGTTGTTACAATGTACAAAGTCTATGCCTTTCTGCGAACCAGTCGATTTTTGTCATTCTAACAATCTAGCTCTGTGCTGTATTATCTATGGTCCAAATGTTAATGTTATTTCCGGTTCTAGCAAACTTAAATTGTTTTTTTTACTTGGTAATTTTTGCCGTCTATGTTTATGAAAATGGCTTCTACAAAGAGAAAATGCAAATTCTCGAACACTGTGAAAAATAAGTTTCCTTGCTTCGTTGAAGGACGCAATGAGAATGAGGCAAAGTGTACGATTTGCGATAGCTACTTAATAGTTACACTCAAGGCCGGCGCCAGAGTATTTGGCACCCTAGGCGAAGCTGTCGCATTGCGCCCCCCCCCACGCCCACGTCAACTAATTATTTAATTAATAGTGCCGCCCCTTAAAAATTTTCCGCCCTGGGCGGCCGCCTAGTTCTCCAAATGGTTAAACCGGGCCTGGTTACATGGTTAAACCGGGCCTGGTTACATGGTTAAACCGGGCCTGGTTACACTAATTCACTGGCAGCTCTTACAATCAAATTGTGCCGACTGTGAGTTTAACCCAGGACGACTCAAATGAAACATTCAAAATGTCCGCCTTTGTCCTGGTTTTTTTTTTTTTTTTTATTATGTCCTCCTTTTGGTGTCCACGTATCTGGCAACCCTAGGTCAGCGGGGCCGGCTCAAGGCACGGGCGTTTTGTGACAAACGGATATCTTTCCGTGATTTTCTTCTCTGATTCCTTTTCTTATTTTTTTTAATGCGATGAAATTGTGCCGAGCAAAGATTGCTCAGCCGTTTTGCCAACGCCTCTGATTGAAACTTATCATGATGTTTATTGTTGGTGAGCTGAAGGTTAACCGTGACCAGATTGCCAACACAGCTCGTCAATGCAAATTTTAAAAAATAGGAACTACTTTCAGTTGTTTCCAGCGCTCGATGAAGATCCAAAATGATGTGTTTAAAGCGTGGGGTGTGGGACGGCTTGAGGTAAAATACATCTTATTAAAATTTCATCGAAGCGGAATAAATTTGATTTTCAT